GGGCCAAGCGCAGGGCCCCGGACGCTGAGCCCGGCCACAGGTGACAGGGCCCCCACGCCGGCTCCCGGCCCGAGCTAGGCGCCCGCCGCACTGGGACTCGCCGGCCGCGCGCCTTCCCGCCTTCCCGGCCCTCTCCTGACACCTAGCGGGGCTCCCGCCGTTTCCCGGCCCCGACGCCGGGCCTCGCCGCGCGCTCTGCTGCGGGTCCGCACGGCTGCCGGACTGGCTCAGGCCCCGGAGACTTAGGGGAAAGCTGAGGGCCAGGAAAGGATCCCGGGGTACACGTTCAAAATGACACACCCCGATACATGCTCTCAGATCTGCTCTTGGGGAGGGAGTGGGACCAGGAACCTGAGAAGACACTTGGGGAAACCAGAAGAGGAGCGGTTGGAAGGGGAAAGAGGAGGTGGGGAAGGGCGCCCAGAAAATCCTGGCACCCACAGCTTCCGGGCATTTCCGGGCGGCACCTCGTGCCCAGGAGCCCACCCACCTCATTCTTGTTTTCTGTCTTCCTTCTTGCAGATCTGCTGCTCCTTGAGGTACTCAACCACTGGCGGCCATGACCAGCCTCCCAGTCACGCCTTCCCCAGGAGGTAGGTGAAGGCCTTCCCTAACCCAGAGAGCTGGTCACCCTGACCCCAGGCCAGCCCTGGAATTCCAAGAGGCCACAGCCTGGATGGGAAAACTCTCCCACTTTTGTCTGCTGGCCTCACACAAGAAGACGCCCTGGAAGGGAGCAGGAGGCAACTAGAGTGTATTCCTAGTGTGGTTTTGTTTTGTATTTTGCGCTAAAGATACAAAGAGAGGAAAAATGAGAAAGAACCGCCCCCCCTCAAGGCGGGGGGTGGGGGGGATGGCCAAACTACAATCCCTTCTCCATTCTTCTGAAAGTTTGAGCCCACAGGGTCATACACACTCCCCGCGTATTTTCCAAGCCAGGGCTCAAACTACAGAGTTGGCCATATGGGATCCAGTTGCCTCAGTCACTGAGCCACCACCAGGTGGTCCCTTGTGTGATTTTAATCTGAAGTCTTAGGACCTGGGCTAATTCCTGACACTACCACTGAAAGCTTGTGACCTCAGTTTTATCAACTTTTTTTTTTTCTTTATGTTTAGTTTTTTTGTCATAGCCTACGTGCACTTGATGGAGATTTGCAGAGAGGGAAAGTGAGAAATCACCTCGGATCGGGCATGGCCATGCTGCAATCCCTTTTTCTCCAGCTAGAGTGATTTTTAAACCACTGCCCAAGACTTGAATCCCCATGGGTCATATGGGAGTCCAGCACCTTAACCACTACACTACCTGCTGGCCCCATATAAAGTCCTTTTGTAAACCTAAAGGAAGGGTTTTACATCCATCTGCCTCATAATTCATAGCTGTAGCAGACTGTGGCAGCAACCCACATAATTATATGCAGAAAAGGAATCTTCCAATGATAACAGGGAAACAAATTTTTTTAAAAAAACATACTAAAGATAATATATCTAAGGTCCAAGTACCAGTTTCCTCATGTTGTAAAAAAGTTGTACCTATCTTGAGGATGAATTAAGGAGACAATCCATATAGGACACCTAGAATAGTGTGTAGTATCTAGAAAGCATAACCTTTGGTGATTATTATTAGGTGCTTGTTAGACACCCCGCTTTCCCTGGAAAGGGATAGTGCTGTCTTTGTAATTCCACTCCTATGATGACACAGATGCAGCATGAAAACCTCATTGTCCCCTGGAGGTGTGCTCTGGGCGAGATCCATCTCTCATCATACTAAGAATGAATTCCCACCTTGCATTTCATAACCAGGCTGGGCAGGACAGACTATAAGATATTTATTGATTGCTTTCAGCCTGTGAGGTGAGGGAGGAACAAACCCTTGTTTGACCTATATATCTGTGTTTTCACGTATAGCCTCATTTGTCATTAGGACGGATATTCGCTGCTTTTACTGATAAGGAAACTCCAGCAGAAGTCTTAAGACTGTGTCCTCTGTGGCTGGTGATGCACACATTTCAGACTTCTTGTTGTCTGATGAGAAAATAAAGGGCAGAAGTAGGTAAGGTCTGGATTGGTCAGCAAAGGCTTCATGAGTGGGGAAGGGGATCTGAGCCTTACTGGTGAAAGACTGGTGAGGTTTGTACAGGCAAAGAGAGGTGCAGCAGGACTTCTAAGGAAAGGTAATGCCATGTGTAGCTACAGAAATTGGATTTATCCTGAAGACATTCAAAAGGAGACAGCAGAAGACTTGTGCAATAAACACTGACAGAGAAAAGAGGTGATATATTAACAACTAGGGGATTAGGACCTGGTCAAGGGGGAACTTTTCACATTCTTTTTTATCTTCCCTTTTGTTTAAATTGTGATTTTCAGTGTATTTTGATGTACAGTTCAGTGGTTTTGATGCTGTCCCATCACCACCATCAGAATTTTTTCATCTTCCCAAACTGAAACTCCACTCCCATTAAACACTAACTTCCCCAGCTCCTGGCAGCCACCATTCTACTTTATATCTCTATGAATTTGACTACCTAGTTACCTCATAGTACAAGTGGCATTATACGGTAGTTGTTCTTTTGTCTGACATATTTCACTTACCATAATGTCTTCAAGATTATCCATGTTATAGAATGTCATAATTTTTTTCAAGGCTGAATATATATATTCACACATATAAAACATTTTGTTTACTCATTCGTCTGTTGATGGGTATTTGTGTTGCTTTCATCTTTTGGCTATTGTGAATAGTGCTGCTCTGGGCATGAGCATACAAATATCTATGAGTCTCTGCTTTCAATTCTATTGCGTATCTACTCAGGAGTAGAATTGTTATTTCATGCGGTAATTCTATGTTCAGTTTTTTGAGGAACTACCATCCTGTTTTCCACAGCGACTGTACTATTTTTCATTCCTACCTGTAATGAACAGTTTCCCATTTCTCTACATCCTTGCAAACACTTGTTATTTTCTGGCGTTTTTTGATAGTATCTATTCTAATGGGTATGAAATGGTATCTGAGGGTGGTTAGGAGTTGCTTTTCTCTAATTAGTGATCTTGAACATCTTCCCATGTGCTTATTTGCCATCCATCCATATTGGGGAAAATGTCTATTCAAGCCCTTATCCATTTTTTTGTTTTCTCTAACTTTTTTTTTTTTTTTTTTTTTGAGAGGTTTTTGCTATAGGTCGTGTACGCTTGCCAGAAAGACAGAGAGAAAGGGAGAGACAGAAAGCAAGAAATCACCCCTCAGGAGGGATGGCCATGCTGCAATCTCTTCTCCATTCTCCTCTTAGGATCTTGGGCATACACGCACATGTGCCTGGCATGAGTTTAAGCCACCAGGTCCGGGACTCAAACCGCAGTCAACTACATAGGAGTCCAGTGACATAGCCATTACGCCAACTGCTGGTCCCCCTTGTCCATTTTTTAACTGGGTTGTTTCGTTGTTGTTGAGTTGTATGTTTACATTCTTTTTTTTTTTAAGTTATTAATTCATTTCCTTCATGAGAGAAAGACAGAGAAACAGGCATCCACCTTACAGGGTCTTCGCATTGTGATCTACCCTCAGTCTCAGCCAGGCTGGATCATGGGAATTCATACCCAGCGTATTCATGGAGGTCCTATGTCATGAACTCAGGACCTTCCCCTGTGCGTCTAGCTGTACCACCATTGTGCCACTGCCTGGCCCTATATGTTTACATTCTTGACCCAATGAGTAATATGAGTGAAGTGGTATTTGAAGACATATATAGTTCTCTACCTACGTTCAAAGACAAGAATGAATGAAAGAACAGAAATCACAAACAGAGAGCTTATAGTTTAAAGGATAGGACTATTGAGAGTCAGCTCTTCATTTCACCCTTATCTTGCACTTCTCTTTTCCCACCTTCCCTCCTTCATATTCTCTTTCCCCAAAGCGTCAAAAGCAAGGACCCCATTATAACTTTGCTGGGCCCTTGGCATTTTGCCTTTGTGAGTGCTTTCCTAAAAAAAATATATAAATACTAAAAATAGTATTTTACAACTGCACTAGTATAAGGAAGAATGATAATATTAGTACACTAATATAATATTGACATTTATAATTGATTGATGTTACAAACTTGATTTTTTTTTTACCTAAAATTCCATTTTTTTCTTTTGTTTTTAAAATAAATTAAAATCAGGGGCTGGCAGGTGGCATGGTGACTGGGGTGCTATACTCTCACGTGGCTTATTGTGGTTTGATTCCCAGGCCTGGTGGCTTGCTTTCTCCCTTTCCCTCTCTTTCTTTTTTTTTTTTTTTCTTTTTTTTTTGGAGAGTTTTTTGCTACAGGGCATGTGCACTCACCAGAAAGACAGAGACAGACAGAAAGCAAGAAATCCCCCCCAGGGTGGATGGCCACACTGCAATCTCTTCTCCTCCATTCTCCTCTCGGGATCTTGGGCACGCATGCACATGCACCCAGCGTGAGTTTAAGGTGCTGGGTCCGAGACTCAAACTGCAATCGACTACATGGGAGTCCAGCGACATAGCCATTACGCTAAGTGCTGGTCCCTATCCCCCTCTCTCTTTCTCTGTCTCTCTCTGGTCAAATTTTTACAAAATAATAATAATAATGAATAAAATTAAATTAAAAATTAAAATTCACAAAAAATCATTCAAATGAAAATTATGCCCTAGAAGTACTGTGGACTTTAGGCACAGCACCTACTGTACCTGGAGTGTAACTTAGCCCCTGCTACAAGTAGGGCAGAGTGGAACCTTGCCTTGTGGGCCCTGCTACCCTAGGAGGTAAAACCCATCTCTTGCCTCCTAGTAATCACACTATCCTCACCCTGTACTAGACTCAGTGTTTTTCATTACCACAACTTTGTAAAGCAAGTTTTATTCTCATTTTACAGAAGCAAAAACTGAGTTTCAGGGAAGTTAAGGAATTTTCAGAGGTTGAGAAAATTCTCCAAGGTCATGTAGCAGATAATGGCAGAAGTAAGACTTTGTACCCAGTATGATTTACTCCAAAGCCTGTGTTCTTTCTGTCATGGTGTAATGCTCCCAAGGTCTCCACCTCACTGGCCAGTGCACCTGAAAGAGAAGGAAGGAGAAAGGGGGCAGGATTCCAGGGCAGGTTCCTATGGAAGGGAGAATTAGGGAAGTTGCCCTTTGTTGGGTGGGTCTAGAGCAAATAAGTAGGTTGGCAGACTCAGATGGCAAAGGATCTGATACCTCAGTGATAAGAGATTTAGCTCAACCTCAGAACAAGGGCCACAAAAAAACCAATCCAGTATTTTGTTAACCCAGTATCTGAGTTAACAACAACAAAGATAGGAGTGCAGGTGAGTAAGCAGAATGTATCTTGAAGGTCATTTGCTATTGGTTAGGATTTGAGTGGCTTCTTTTTATTTATTTATTTATTTTTTTTGGAGAGGTTTTTGCTATAGGGCACGTGCGCTTACCAGACAGACAGACAGAGAGACAGAAAATGAGAAATCACCCCCCAGGGGGAATGGCCACTCTGCAATCCCTTCTCCTTCATTCTCCTCTCAGGAACTTGGGCACGCACGCACACGCGCCCGGCGTGAGTTTTAAGCCACTGGGTTCGGAACACGAACCGCGGTCGAC